TTCTGGGCTATAAAAATACCTTAATAAATGAGATGGCCATATGAGCAATAAATAATACCTAACAAGACCAAGTCCAAAAACTGTCAGAAAAACATGCCTCATGTTTTCTTAAGCCCTTAACTAAGGAGAATTAGAATTTCAGAGCTAAGATAAACCTTGAGATCAGAGCAAGATGCTAATTGTGAAAAGAAGGAAAAGATCCACATTACTGCACAGCTCAGCACTGATCCAGGACTAGAACTCAGGTCTCAGGTCCCTCAGCTCTAGGATAATCCTTAAAAATAAGGCATTCAAAAGCACTGCAGTTTGGTTACTAAGTACTTCTTTGCTGTATTTTCCTGTTAACTTTCTAAAAGAGTCGAATTCTACTTTGAATGAAGAAGACTTCATCCTTTTCTGTAGTTTTGAATTATTAAATGGTGAATACAATTAAATAGTAAAAGGTCATCTTCAATCTACTGCTGAGAGAAGATTCCACGTGTGCATGGTATAAGACATGCTGGTTTATGGGCCTGACACCTTGCATGGAACTTTACAAATCCCTATGATGTCCTTAAGCTTCCTCTTCAATTGAACTGAAAGATGGCTAAAAACCCCACTCGGGCAGATGACTCCCTATTGGCTGGCCATTTGAGAATGCTCAAGGGTGCAGTTACTGCAGCTGAGGCTGGTAGTAACTGGCTGTTTTCCTGAGTAGCAGCCTTCTGACAGCAGCCGGGGTAGAATTTATGCACATGGTTCAAGTGGCCTCATTCTCTGCTCAGATTCCCTTTTTCCCACATACAATGAGAATTGAGCATATGCATTTCTGATGGCTTAGAAAACAAGCAGAAATCAAAATCTGTGCAATGAGAAAAGCAAGTAGGAGAGCTAGTCTACTTAGTGTTCACTTAAATTTAGACTCTGCTGCAACTGACTTATATCATAGTAGTGGCAGATAACAAAAAGCCTCTCCACCCCTCAAGTTAAGACAAACTTGGTGTTGAGATGCACCTTAAACCTCAAGGTCTACATAGCATGTCTTCAAGGATTACATTTGGAACTGCTGTGCTCCACAAGGGGAATGAGTGCAAGTTTCATCTGCATGCAAGGTAGTAAAAGTATGGGCTGGATTAAGCTTACTACCAAAAATAATGCACATTGCCCGCATACCTTCTTTCCTATCAATCCTCCTCTTCCTCCTTCTCCTCAATCTAAAGTTTGCTAGGCAAATGGCCTACCACTTAACCCATTCTCCGGCCACCGCTCCCCTCCCCCGCACCGCTGCCTCCTTTTCAACAGCTAGCCTTGGACAGGCCCCTCCTATTTCCTAGTTTATCTATCCTCCAGAACATTTAATTCATTTTAACAGGGTAAGCTAAACTTTTGACTAAAACAACTTTGTAGTTGGGTTGTAGCCAGGTGCCAGGGTGGCTCATGCGTGTAATCCTAGCTACACAGGAGGCTGAGATCTGAGGATCACGATCCAAAGCCAGCCAGAGCAGGAAAGTCCATGAGACTCTTATCTCCAATAAACCACTCAAAAAACCGGATATAGCACTGTGGCTCAAGTGCCAGAATGCTAGCCTTGAGCTGAAGAGCTGAGGACAGCACCCAGGCCCCAAAGTTCAAGCCAAAACAAACAAACAATAAAAAACCAACAACTTTGGAAAAGAACTACATTCTGAGCTGTGTGTGTGTGTGTGTGTATGACAGTGCCAGAGCTGTGTGTGTGTGTGTGTGTGTGTGTGTGTGTGTGTGTATGACAGTGCCAGGGCTTGAACTGAAGGCTTCATGCTTTTACTTGGCCTTTTTGTTTTTTTTTTCATCAGAGGTCTTTTTTTTTTTTTTAAATTGTGAGAATACCGTACAGAGGAGTTACAATTACATGGGCAAAATAACAAGTACATTTCTTATCAAGCATTTTTGCCTCCTCGTTTCCCCTTCCCATCCCCTCCCATCCTCTCCTTCCCCCACCCCATCCTCCCCCCCCCCCCCAAAGTTGTTAAGTTCGTTTTTCGACATAACAACTTGTACATCTCATTGTTGCAATGGGTCCACCTGTATCCCTAGTTAAACAATTTGTTTTTTTCCCTTCCCCTCCACAAATTATACCAACATCAAAAACTTGGCTTTTTTGTTCAAGGCTGGCACTCTACCACTTGAGCTATACCGCTACTTCCTTGGTGGTTAATTAGAGTTACAAGTTTCATGGATTTTTCTGCCCTGACTGGCTTCAAACCTTGATCCACCAGGTGCTGGTGGCTCATACCTGTAATCCTAGTTACTCAGGATGCTGAGATCTAAGGTTCTCAGTTCGAAGCCATCCTGGGCTGGTTTGTGAGACTCTTGTCTCTCGCCACCAAAAAAGCTGAAATTGGAGCTGTGACTCAAGTGGTAGAGCACTATTCTTGAGCAAAAAAGCACAGGGATAGCATCCTGAGTTCAAGCCCTACAACCAATAAAAGAAATAAAAACCCTAAACCAAAAAATCCTTGATCCTCAGTGGTCTGAGTAACTAGGATTACAGGCATGAGCTACCAGTGCACAGCTATGAAAGACTTTTTGAGCAACAGAAAGCTATTTGTAACCAACTGCAAAGTAAAGTGAACTTGGCCTACTAGGCAATAATATTTAAGAGAAAAAAAGTTTATGCAGTTAGTAGTTCACCTAAGATAAATGCACTGCTGTAACTTCTACTCATTCAAATGTTCAAACACTGAGCTCTTCAGGTCAGGCGTTAAACTCGATACAGGTACTCTAAGCTGATATCACACATTCTGTGCCCCCACAGAAGGCATCTTAGTCTAGAAGAGCATATAACAGGTAAGTCCTATAACGAGAGAATTCAACAAGCAGCTACAAAAGCAGGGGAAATGATAGCCTGAAGTTGCTGAGGAAGGCTTTACCTGACCGGGCTGTCAGAGGACAGGGAAAGTGCACCTCAGGTGAAGAACATGGCATGTGCTAAGGCACTGGGGTATGGGAACACAGAAGATTTGGGAAACAGAAAATACTGTGGGCACTATTTTCCCTCAGTCCTGTGGAAGAAAACAAAAGCCAGGGCACAAAGGAACCTGAGCACTGTGTTTAACAGTTTCCTGGGGCTGGGAAGGTGGCTCAGTGGTAGAGTGCTTGCCTTGCATGCCTGAGGCCCTGGGTTCGATTCCTCAGCACCACATAAGCAAAAAGAAAAAAGCCGGAAGTGGCGCTGTGGCTCAAGTGGTAGAGCGCTAGCCTTGAGCTGAAGAGCTGAGGGACAGCGCCCAGGCCCAGAGTTCAGGCCCCATGACCAGACCAAAAAAAAAAAAAAAAAACAAAACAGTTTCCTATTGGCTAAAGAAATTTCAAGCAGGAAACAATTGGATGGGAACTCCATCTCAGATAAAGACCTCTTGAAGCACAGACAGCCTGGTAGCCAAGAAGCAATGGTGCATCTAGAGACGAAAAGATTAGCTATTGATGTCTGCTTGGTATGGGTGAGGGGAATGTGAGTGACTGCAAATGGACCCCAGGGGTTTTAGGAGGGTGATGCAAACATTCTAATACTACATTGTAGCAGTGGTTGTAGAACTCTCAATTTACTAAAAGCCACTTAATTATGTAAAAGGAGAAAATTTTATTGAGAGTAAATTATCCCTCAATAAAGCCATTTAAAAGACTAAAAAGTCAAGCCCGGTGGCTCACCCAGGTAATCCTAGCTGCTCAGGAGGCTAAGATCTGAGAATCATAGTTCAAAGTCAACCCAAGAAGGAAAGTCCATAATGCTCTTATCGCCAATAAACTACCAAAAAAGCCAGAGTGGAACTGTGGCTCAAGTGATATAGCATTAGCCTTAAGTAAAAGCAGCTCAGGGGCAGTGCCCAGGCCCACCAAAAAAACGAAAACTGAAAAAACAATTACAGCCAGATATCAGTGGCTCACATTCATAATCCTAGCTACTCAAGAGGCTGAGATCTGAGGATTGAGGTTTGAAGACAGCACAGGCAGGAATGTCTAGGAGACTCTTACCTCCAATTAACCAGCAAAAAGCCAGAGTGGAGGTATGGCTCAAGTGATAGAGCACTAGTCATAAATGGATGGGCTAGTATCCCAGAGGATGAGAGACCAAGGAGACACGTCCCTAACGACTGAAGCTGTGCCAGATGAGACATTTAGCTCCAGGGGAATAAAACAGCCAACTTGAACAGTAACTTGGGTGGGTTGTTACTTAGCAAAAGATAATTATATACTGTTTGTTTCACCTAGAATAAAATCCAATGGCTTGCCCTAGCCTTCAAGGCCCCATGGTTAGGCTCCCTTCACCTCCCGTCACTCCTCACCCCCAGCACTGTCCTACTCAGAACCTGTCCTTCATGCCCTATGTCTGGGGTGCTCCTTCCTCAGACTTGCACGGCTTGCTCTGACTTCCTTCTCTGCTCCAATATTACTATATGAGAGACCTTCTCTTATCTCCCAACAATCACCCTTGCTCATTATTCTGCTTTATTGCTCTTGTAGGTCCTTATTATTACCAGACATATACATTAATTTCTTGCTTACACATAGCACACCAGAGTTTGTATTCTTTAAGAGCAAAAGCTCTGCCTGGCTTATACTATATCCCTAGTACTTATAATAGTGCCTGGAATTTTTTTTATCATCAGAAAAATGATAAAAGTAATACATAATATTTTTGCCAGTTTGATTGTCTAGGCCTAGACATTACTTGGCATGTTTCCTGGGCTGGAGGTGGAAGAGTGGCAACGATGCTTCATATTAAGGCATGCTATACTGAATGTAGGCTTAATTCCATAATTTCTACAACCTAGAAAAATTCAAATGCCCACTACACATTTAAGCAAGGCAGCAGGATGTCAGCTTGCCACTGGTCAACTCTGAACTGTTCCTTTGATCTCCCACCTGCCTCTTTCTCTCTATCCTTTCCCAATTAGTCTGTAATACTGCTTTGAGATACACACACACACAAACACACACACACCATACATATCACATATATAGCAACAAAAACTCTAAGAAAATATTATCAGCATAGAAATTTATTTGAATTCAAAATAAGGTAGGTTATATTTAGAATAATGTAATAATTATCTAAAGGAAGTATCATCATTGGCTCTGAAACAGCCTAAATATGTTATTCTTTTGAAGTCAAAAATATGTATTAATAATGTACAAGGAAGCAAAAAATATAGAAACATGTCTGTGGAAACACCTGAAGTGGTAACAAGAGGGAAGCGCTAAGATACTGTGATGCAGTCCAAGTTATACAAACATGTGCTAATAGCTCTTTTGCTTTATTGCCAACCTGGAAGATAAATCAGTAGCCTGAGGAAGGCAAGCATATCACTTGGTTAACAGGACAAACGTCCCAAGGATACATATAGAAATTCACAATACTTTCTTTAATTCCTCTCAGTACATCAATTTCTTTCCTTTAGCATGGGTTTCATCCTGTTGACAAAATGTTTGGTTCTATTTGCAAAGTGACTCCACTCCTGATTGAAGTATCCAACAATTTAATTGAAGATGCTCAGGGATCAAACTTTTTAAAAAGGTCAATTCAGCTAGGTAGCAGAAACTATCGGTGACTTGCAGGGAAAAAAAATTTAGATAGTATGTTTGCTAAACAGATGAAAAGAAGAAGCAGTTAAAAATCATAGTGATTACTGTAACGTAGACAATCGAAAGCTGACAGATGACCTTTGATTAAACTCATTTGCTTGTGGAATGAGCTAGAAGGAAGCTCCAAGACAGTTTTGGTTCCCATCAGTGTCCAAGGCCAAAAGGCTCACTCAGAGGCTCTCCTCCTCCCGAAGAAACTGGAACACCGCTGAGAAGTCTTTCTTTGAGTAGCCCTTTGCACACATCATCCTGTAGATCTGATGGGCCACACTGCCCAGAAAGATGGGGGTCTTTGTGCTGGTTGCAGAGTCTTGTGCCAATCCCAGATCCTAAATCAAGCAAGGGCAGGAGGAACACATTGAGACTGGTGGTAAAGACTTACTTTGGAACAGCACTTATAATACTTTAGGAAGTACTTTGTCAATTTTGAGAGTGTGACAAAAAAATTCTTACATGCATTAAGTTCATATGCATAAACATATACACCTTTGAACATATACATACTCACATATTTCCCTTTCTTTTTTTCTTTTGATCTTGGTGATCAAAACCAGGATTTCATGCATGCTAGACAAGAAATCTACCACTGACTGAGCTGGTCCCTTAACGTTAAGATATTTTACAAGTGCTTTCATACAGCTGCAAAACTGCTCTAAACAAACTTTAATTTCTTCTTCTTTTTTTTTTCAGTCCTAGGGTTTGTACTTAGTGTATCAATTCTTGCTAGCCAGACACTCTAGCATGAGAGACATGCACCAGCCCTTTTCGCTTTAGTTATTTAATTTTTTTTGTCAGTTGTGGGGCTTCAACTCTGGGCTTGGGCACTGTCCCTCAGTTCTTCAGCTCAAGGCTGGTGCTCTACCACTTGAGCCACAGCAGCACCACTTCTGGTTTTCTGCGTGATTTATTGGAGATAAGAGTCTCATGGACTTTCCCACCCTGGCTGGCTTTGAACTGGAATCCTCAGATCTCAACCTCCTGAGTAACGAGGATCACAGGCACCTGGCTATAGTTACTTTTCATACAGGGTTTCACATTTCTGGTCAGGCTGGCCTGATGGAAATCTTCTTATTTATGTTCCCCTCATTGTGGGAATGATGGTTGTGAGGCACTATGCCTAGCTTTTGATTTGTTGAGATGAAATCTGGAGAACTTTTTACTAAGGCTGGCCTTAAACCCCAATCCTAGCCAAGATTACAGGTGAGAGCCACAGTGCCTGGCAAAACCTTGATCGCTATGTGTCTCCACAATTACAAGAGTTGTGTTATTACACAGGGGAATGACTTTTCTAATTGGTGTTAAGTCTGTAAACCTGCTATAAATTAAAAAAAAACATGAAGGAAAATAAAATGTCAAAACAGGAAAGAGTTTCAAATATTACACCTTCCAATAAATATTTGAAGTATGCTGACAATGAGCCAGAAGCTGGGATTCAATGATGAGCATGTTCACCTCAGCCTGCACAAACTGTTGACTGAGGAAGAAAGACACAGGGCAGTCATTTATGGACTCTGATAAAAACAGTACCATCAGGGGAGCCAGGGAGGCACAGTCCTGGGTGCTAGGTGAAGCTTTCCAGAGGAAGAGGTGGCTGATCACAGATCTGAAAGATGAGTAGGTGTTATCTGGGTAAAAGTACGGGCAACAGAGAGGTAGCAGGCAAGAAAGAATGATCCTGACAGAGGCAATAGCCAATGGGAAGGTTTGTGAGTGAGAGAACAAGAGGCAGAAATGAGTTCAATATGACTGAAGTAGAAAGAGAAGAGTGGAAAAACAAAAGTGGGTTTGGGGAAAGAAGCAAAGACCAAATAATCCAGAGCAAGTTAGACAAACTATGGACAGATTTCAATCTGCTGGTAACTGGAAAGGAAGGAATTCAATAGGAAAAGTGACATAATCAGATTGTTACATATTTTAAAGTCTATTCCTGTTCCAGTGTGGAAAATGCACTGGAGAAGATGAGAACAAAAGGCAAGGTGCCTAGCTAAGGAGGCTTGTGGCCTATGTAAACGAGGTGCAGCCCAGGTAGTGCTTTAAGTGGAAAAGGTAACTGGATGAATCCAAGGTATATTCAAAATGAGAATGGAAGTATGCCATGAAGAATGAGGTAAAGTGAGCCAACTAGGCTATCCAAGTGATGTATTATTACTTTGTAATCAAAAAAAAAATCAGGGCTGGGAAGGTGGCTCAGCGGTACAGTGCTTGCCTTGCATGCATGAGGCCCTGGGTTCGATTCCTCAATACCACATAAGCAAAAAGAAAAAAGCCAGAAATGGCGCTATGGCTCATGTGGTAGAGAGCTAGCCTTGAGCTGAAGAGCTGAGGGACAGCGCCCAGGCCCAGAGTTCAGGCCCCACGACCGCCCCCCCCCCAAAAAAAAAAATCAACCGGGGGCAGGGAGGAGCTCTATGCAGAAATCTCAAAATTTACTAGTCTAAGAGAATATCCTACAGCTGATATCACAAATGAAAGTAAGCCATCAACTTGCTTTTCAAATGACTTAATTTACACATAAATCATATATACTCTTAAAGCAGGAAAGATGTACTCAGAAATAATGCAAAGATCCCTTTCTCTTGTGATGTGCATATATAATGCCATGCATTAACAATCTGTTCATTCTTACTGCTCTTACACTAAGGCATTGGTAAAGTTATTAAATTAATATAAATTTATGATGAAAAGTAAAATGTTACAGCTCATACCATAAACAAACTTGAGCCCTGGGGCTTGAACTTTGGACCCAGGCATAGTCATTGAGCTTCTTTTGCTCAAGGTTAGCATTCTTGTCACTTGAGTCAGTGCCGTTTCTGGCTTTTTCTGTGATTAATTGAAGATAAGAGTTTCATGGACTTTCCTGCCCAGGCTGGTATTGAACCAAGACCCTTAGATCTCAGCCTCCTGAGTAGCTAGGATTACAAGTATGAGCCACTGACACATAGCGCACAAACTCTTTTAATCCAAAAGCCAAGGAATAAAATAAACAAGATAATAAGTTTTACCTATGCTAAGTTTTTGTTCACTCTAGTAAGAAAGGGAAAGTCACTATTCCAGTAATTGTGCCTTCTAACATAGACATAAGGACTGCTTTATTAAGTTGCCTTCTAACATAGACATAAGGACTGCTTTATTAAGTTGCCTTCTAACATAGACATGAGGACTGCTTTATTAAGTTGCCTTCTAACATAGGCGTAAGGACTGCTTTATTAAGTTGGGGTTAGGAAAGAGAAAGTGAGATGCAAGGAGAGAGAAAAAAAATTAGGTCACGAAGCATTTTTCCTCTTCTTGGTTAGTCTTTACATTTACCATTTCCATACCTTAGCCATGAGGGTTGTTCCAAATCCACCCTGATAGTTATTAGCTGAGGGAACTCCATCCATCACCCCAGGGACGGGATTATAAGTGTCACTTGACCAACACCGTCCAGAACTCATGTTTAGGATTTTAGCCAATAGTTTTGGGTCAAGCCCTAACCTGTCAAAGGTCAAAGAAAAGAAATGTTACATGTCAAAATGTACACGGCATATGAAGAGGCTCTGTCTTCACCATCTATTATGTCTTCTAAAATTAAAGCAGATTAGTATAAGAATCCTAATTTGAATTATAAGATAGTAAAAGCTAACAATTCAACAAGATCATTTCTGAGCCAAGACACTGTGTATTAAGAGAAACACTTCTGCCCTATCCCAACTTTTAAGAAGCAATAATATATGACTGTTGGTTTGTCATACTCATGGGTTTTCTAGTCTTTTGGACATTACTAGTTTTATGTGTCACTTATGAACTTTAAAGCAATAAGATAATCTCAATTTTACATTCTTTACATACATATGTTATATTTCAGAAGTACTGACGGGTAAACGATGCGTGTGTGGGTGTGTATGGATGCATTTATACGTACGTTTACTCCTTTGTCTTTTATAAGAACACATGCAAGAGATGAGCCATGAGCAATGAAATGTGTTGAAGAAAAATTGCCATTATAGAAGAAGACATTTCTTGCTGCAAACTTTTCCTTATTTATAAAATCTTCATTAGACAACCTTGCTTATGAAGCAAGTCTGTCCATGTGACATATGCTATCTATTCAGAGACATACATTATAGTTCTGGGTCAACTGCTGATAAGGTTACTGATCCTGATGAAACAAAGCTTGCCCAAGCGGAAACATCATTTGTTCTATCACTGGGCTGTTGGCATAAACGACTGTTTAATATGGACCTGAGGGGGGAAAAAGCCTCAAAATGTTCTATTGTTTTGATTGTAATGATCTCAATAGTTTGGGAAGCATAGTTTTCTTAAGTATCACTCAATGAAGTTTCAAATAAAACTTTATATCCCTAAGTTTATTGGTTTCTTTCATGCAAAGGGCTATTATAAAACAGCTGTCATAAAAGTTTTGTTTTGTCTTAAAACAAACTTCTTCTAGAAAATAATAAGAGATTGAAAAGATATACTTGTGTTAACAGCAAACAAACTACATTTTTACACACTTAAAATGTTGCTTACTTTGTGTGAGTGAAATATATACATTTCAAAATCTGAGCATTAAGCCCAGTAAAAGATTTTTCTGATGCTAACGTAGGGTAAGAGCTAACAGCCAGGATATGGATGGACTTACCATGTAATACAACTGATACATAATTAGTCCTCAAGGGGTAGCAGTGGTTCACAGAATGCTGTGTGGCATACTGTGTGTCTGAATTCATCAGTGGCAATTATGTGAATCATGCTACAATCAAGTATTCTTACTAAAGATTACAACAGATAAAGCAGATCCCATCTAAATGAGCACCATATAGTTACTTTAGCTGCATATTGCCAGAGAGATGGCCAGCAGTCACATTCATTCTTTTATAAAGATCTAAATCTATTGCATGTATAGTTTGCCATGGATGCTTTCTTCCTATTTACATAAAATCAAGCAGTCAGAATTATATATGACATATGCCTCAGGAAAAGACACCCAATGTGCTCCAGAAATAAGTGCAAAGAATAAAATAACAAATTAATAATTAGTTTATTGTATTTGCAAGTATATTCTCTAAGCACAATTGTTCAAGAACATAAATTTGTTTAATGTGCTCCATAAAGAGAATATTTCAAAGACCTTAAAACACTGCTTTTCCTGTCCATTTGAAATATTATTTTAGGGGTTTCCTAATTCAGGTATTCTCTTAAAATGATTCAACATCATTAAAGCAGTAGCTAGTCCCCTCTTAATAATCTAGCAGGTTATACCTAGACCTGTTTTACTAACACATTCGTATTTCAAAGCATCTGGAGGGATACAAAAAACATCAGGTGGCAGTTGCTTGCTCACTTTTCAAACCTGATGCTCCTTTCTGTCGTCCTGTAGATTCCCTTCAAGAAACTGCTACTCCCTCGTGCTTTTCCTCCCTGCCCCCCAACCTGCAGCAAAGTGTATCATTAAAAAGAGCAAGTGAGAAGTGTTTTGCATTTCATCTTTCTGAGGATTCTTTCCTTGGCACATTCATAACTGACAGTTAGAATTAGACATGATATTAAAATCAGTTACTGAAGTCTTCTGTCTTCCTCTGTGCCCACGGCTTGTAATGGTCTGAAACCAGCTAGAATACACAGTAATTGTCATTCAGAGAGTCTACCCTAGAACGTCATGCTTCACTGGAGAAGACTGAGTTTCCATTTGAAATCAACAAATTAATCCAAGACAGGTATCTGAAAGGGCAAGTTTAATAGGAAGCAGCTACTGGGCTCTCAACCATGATAAAATGTTATTGCTGTTTCCCTGTAAATTGGCTGGGAACATATGATACTTTCTGCATAAGAGCCCCATTGCTGTTCAGGAGATATACAGCTCAAGTCATCAAAAGGATGACAGTCTGTCAGTCCCCATAATAACTTGCCACTGGATGTGGTTCGAGAGTGCGTGTGTGCATGCATGTGGCTTTACAATTCCTGGAATGTTCTCTGAAATAAACAGAGAATTAGTTCATTGTTCTGACTGCATATATAATTCAACTCAAATAAACGTCACTGTGTCAAATCTGCTCACCTCTAAAACACATGAATGTTAAAAAGAACTTTTGGGGGAGGTAAGAATAATATACAAACTATTAAAAATTAAAAAGAATGAAAACCTTTTGCCTTCACAATAAAACCAAAGTTCTAAGGATCAAAAATGTTTGTTTGCTTTACAGTCTTTTGTAAGTATCTACTTGTTTAGTTTTATGTAAGAACAACAACAAAACCCCCCCCCACAAAACTGAGATGTTTCCATCTTAGAAACATATCTGAAGATGAGCATAGAAAGCTCAGTTGATTTTATTGACTCATTCACTTATTCACCAATGCTTCCACAGACCTGCAATATGCAAATACTGTACAGGAGCCAAGTGCACAACAAGAAGTTAGAGGGGGCTGTGACTGCCACCAGGAGTGGGTGAGTTAACATACATACCCAGATAACATGTGACTAAGGCAGAAGTGCCATGTTCTACCCTACCAAGCACTCACTACTCATTCAGGCCTTCATGGAACACCTATTATCTGCCAGTTCCTAAGATTCAGCCATGAGGACACACAGCCATTCTCCTTCATGGAGCTTATTTTCTAGGCATTAGAGAGGCAATAAACAAATGTGTGTGTGTGTGTGTGTGTGTGTGTGTGTGTGTGTAGTAAATTCAAATACTATCTCACCACAGCCACAGATATTAATAACTACCATGTACAGAGCTCTTATTATGTGCCAGAAGCAGTTTTTAGAGATTTACGTAGATTAACTCAGTCTTCACTACAATCTAAGGCCTACTTACCAGCTTTTACTATTTGTTGGTTTGACTGACTGATTGTGGTACTGGGATTTAATACCTAGCAAGCACTCTATCACTTGAACCATATCGCCAGCCCTTTTTTGCTTTAGTTACTTTTCAAACAGTCTCATGTGTTTGCCTGGTACCAGTCTTGGACCACCATCCTTCTATGGCTGCCTCTCATATAGCTGGGACTATAGAGCTGAACCACTGTGCCAGAGCTGCTGGTTGAGACTGGAGGAATCGCTAACTCCTTTTTCTTCCTAGCTGGTCTCAAACTGCAATCCTCTCAGCTCTGCTTCCTGAGTAGATGGGATTACATACACATTATTTTTTAAATGAGAAAACACAGAATCTGTCCACAGTTGGATTGCTTAACTAGACAGATACCCAGACTTAGACTAGCTTAAGTCTCACTGTGTCCTATGTGCAGTGAGAGATCATAGTCAAGCAACCAATATGATGGAATTTTATCATTTATTTAAAAATCTGGTCAACATTTTGTAACAACCTCATTCGAGGGTATATAAGAAGTCTTTCATCATATGAAAGAAAAGTCAACTTCTAGGTGCGGTCACCAAAAAATTAAAACTGTGCTTGTGGGAAAGTTTTTATCATGCATAGCTTTCAACTCTTCAACAGAAGTTCACCATGTTAGGTTTCACTTGGTGGAAAAAACAACAACAACAATGTGGTGGCTACTGGAGGGGCCTAGGACCTTGTTGACAATGGAAATAGCTTCTTCTATCATCAATGTTTAAAAAAAAATCAATTCCCAGTAGAGCAAAACAAAACTCACATTAACAATGCTGTTTCTCTGTGTTACATAGGAACAAAAAGCTCCGTAATGCAACTAGGGCATTGTTAAGGCCATAAAACTATTTTGGAGCTCTAACTAGGAACTCAATTAGAAAGTAGAAAGGTCTAATAATAAAAGAACCTCAAAATATATGTCTACCAATATTTTTTACTCTTTACTTTTTTCTTTTACAACATTTTAAAATTTCACTAACATCCATAAAGACTCACTGGAGTCAATAAGAATTTTAAATTGTAAGGTTTTATTCTTCTATTAAAAGAGAGAGAAAAAGAAACAGTGTTCAGGAAAAAACACTGACTTATGAGAAAGATATTAATCAGAAATTATCATCTCACAGGAATATGTAATTCAATTGTAAATGTTGACATTAATATGCTAAAAAATTTCACTTCAGAGTGAAGAGAATATAAATGTGGCTGAACCACTTTGATGCTTTACTACTTTGTGGGAATTTACTACTTGGAAATTTATGCTTGCTGATGCCAATTTTCTTTTTCACCTTGCACAGCTCAATAAATCGTGGGCACTCTATACTCTATTAGAGAGCAATCCTGTCATTTTAAACCATGTCTGTAAACCATGGAGAAAAGACAATAGCAGAAACACTCATTTTTAGGGCTTTCAAACTACTAAGAATCCCTGTAAGATAAAGTGATAAAAATCTTAATGTTTTGAAAATAAGTCATTTATTAGCACATTCTGAAACTCTCGTAATTTTAACTGTTAAGTAAATTTCTGCCTCTGTTCAAAATTTATATACATATATATCATATAGATCAGCCAATACCAATACATATTTAGTTTTAGAAAAATTAAACATTTATTTACAAGTTTCAAATTTTCAAATATTTTTTTTATCATAGTGGCTCAAGGCCAAAAATAAGTAAAACTTTATTCTTCTGTTTTTAATTGCCACTATTTGGAATTATATTACTTTTCATTTTCTCTTTGAAGACAAGCCCACTGTAAGAAGCCAATGGTTTTCATTACATTATATATAAGATATACATATATTTCAAATGAATACTGTTACTATTCTTTATTAGCTGCTGTTTGGAGGAAAACTTCCATAAGCTCTTAGACTCAACAAAGCTTCATTTTAGAAGAGCAAATGATTAACTAGTCAGAGTTTTGACAGGAAAATTATTCAAAGAATGCCAGAAGATTCATCACTGTCATAAGGAACATCTTGATACAGTGTTGCTCAAGTTCCGGAGTAGAGAATAAACTGACACTGGGCACCAGTAGTTTACACCTATAATCCTAGCTACTCAGAAGGCTGAGGTCTTATAACTGAAGCTCAGAGCCAGCCCACGCAGACAAATCCACAAGACTCTTACCTGTAATTAACCAGCAAAAAACAGAACTGGAGACAGGCAAGGTGCAAATAGTAGAGCACTAGCTCTAAGTGAAAAGGCTAATCAAGAGTGTGGCCTAGCTGGGCGGGTGCTTGTGGCTCACACCTGTAATCCTAGCTACTCAGGAGGCTGAGAGCTGAGGATTGTGGTTCAAAGCCAGCCCGGGCAGGAAGTCCATGAGACCCTTATCTCCAAGTAAACAACCGAAAATCAGAAGTGGCGCTGTGACTCAAGTGGTAGAGTGCTAGCCTTGGGCTGAAGAGCTCAGGGACAGCACCCAGGTCCAGAGTTCAAGCCCCACCACTGACTAAAAAGAAAAAAAGAAAGTGAGGTCTTCAATTCAAGCCCCAGTACTGGCATAAAAAGAAAAATAAACTGGTAACAGAGAAATGTTATCATAGTATAACCCGGATACATTTAAGCTTTTGGCTTTTTATGATATATTTATTTAAAGGCAAAAATTAGCAGTAGATTTCAAAATGTATATGCATACTAATCCTGCTGTCAACACCAATTAATTTTATATGTAATTTGTTTTCCTCTTCCCTGAAATTAATCTATAGAACGGACATAAAAACAAGTTATCAGCAGCAAGTTTTTCAACTATGACAACTGACCTAATAGGTGGCCTAATACTGGCCACCATACAAACATACTGCTTGGAAGGGCTCACACATATACTACCAGTTTTATTAAGGATTTGTACAGATATGGCTTACCATCTTATAGACATTCAATTTTAAAATGTAAATGGTACAGGATATTGATAAACCAATTAGCGCTGATGCAAAGCAAATTTCTCTTTTATCTCAATTACAACATGACAACTTAATAGGTCAAGATAGTTTAACATCTGAGACAAGGGCAATTCAATAAAACAACAGCATCTTGATTTGGTAATTAAGGGGAAATGTGTCTCCATTACCATGTTTTTAAAATATCTCAAGCACCCTGGCTCTTTGTATTGCTTTTATCAAAAGCTATGATAGGAACCACTATTGTGTTCTGTAATATATTTGATGAAGCAGTTTGGGGAATGTGAAGAAAATATCTGAACACATCTTGCTCATTAAGGATTTTCTAAAATAAGAAATGTATATTTATTATATTCATAAAATATAAAACACTTAAAAATTAATCAATTAATCATATATAACATTCTTAACCCAAAAGGCTAAAATTAAGATATTTACCTTAAACATTATCAGGGATGATCATTTGTAGGAAAAAACCTTAACTTCTGATTGACTAAGAATGAATAATATTTATTTTAAAGATATATCCTAAAATAAAGTTAACCAAACCACAGGCATACTAAAATCTGAGTTAGGCATGAGTCAGATCTTTAGGAATGTAAGTGAGTTGATTCTAACAAACCAACAACAATCCTTCTGGGTAGAGCTTTGCAGGATTATATATAAAATAGGGACAGAAAGTAAGTCACATGGTAGCATAACACTTCAGTTCACTAACATTAAAACTGTTTCATACAGATTTGTCAGACACTGCCAAAGTATATTTAAATTTCAGAGTTTTTAGCATTATCAACCTACTAGAAGAAAGGGGCTTCCAAATAAAAAGGATAATATAACTTCAAATGTTCATTGCAGTACATTTTATGGTTACAGCAAAGAATATTCATGCTCTCCAAGATCCTATTGCTCATCCAATAAGCAAAGTCTATTGAAGTTCAATAATGAAGTACTTTCAAAATGCCCCTGGACCAACTCATTTCTCTCTCACAAACATTATTAATTTTTTACAACAGAAAATCAAATAGGAAAGCCAATAAAAATTGTTAGTTCATGAAAATGAACTACTCAACAAACCTGATTCCAAGATTCATAGCTTCAGAGGTTCCAATCATACTAATAGCTAATAGCATGTTGTTGCAGATCTTTGCAGCCTGGAAATGAATTGAATATATACTCAATATCCTTATTTTCAAGTTATAACTTGCTTCTACTATGGGCTCAGAACTACAGGGAGTGCTGATCCATGTGTCAAGGGATGGGACTTACATCTGACTTGGGAAATAGAAATAATATGTTACACAATAATATGTTACACAATCACATGGTAACATGTATGGTAGAAAAAGAAGGAGTTCAGATAAACAAGAAAACTAAACACAGGAGTATGGAAGAGATAACTGGAAATCATCTCCCAGGACAAGGTGTGTGTGTGTGTGTGTGTGCATGTGTGTGTGTGTGTGTGTGTGTGTGTGCGCGCGCGCACGCGCCATTCTGGGGCTTGAACTTAGGGCTGGAGCACTTTTCCTGAGCTCTTTTTGCTCAAGGCTAGCGCTCCGCCACTTGTGCCAGCTCCACTTCAGCTTCTTTCATGGTTAAATGGCAATAAGAATCTCAACAGGGGCTGGGCACTGGTGGCTCACACCTGTAATCCTAGCTACTCAGGAGGCTGAGATCTGAGATGATGGGTCAAAGTCAACGTGGGCAGGAAAGTCCGTGACACTCTTAGCTCCAATCAACCACCAGAAAACCAGAAGTGGTGCTGTGTGTGCCTTGAGCTGAAGAGCTGAGGGACAGCGCCCAGGCCCAGAGTTCAAGTCCCACAACCGACAAGAAAGAGTCTCAACAGATTTTCCTTCCTGGGCTGCCTTTGAACTTTGATTCTCAGTTCTCACCTTCCCAGAGTAGCTAGGATTATAGGTGTAAGCAAGCCACAGTGACTAGCCTAAGACATGATTTGAACAGGCAAAAAGAAAAAGGTAGAAAGAGGGCAAAAGGTAAATGTAAGAGGAATTAAATATATCAAGAGCAGAAACTATTCCTAGGATTAGTGGAAACAATTATTCATATGCATTGGCTTAAAGGAATGCTGCAAATTTGATAGTTAGGACTATGTCTTGTGCAGTAAGTAGGGGGTTAAAATTTGACATAGTAAAACAGAGATCTATCTGGTTCAGAATAGGGACATAACATGATGGTATAAGCAACTCTGATGGACTTGCTTTTAGATAGTGTGGGACAAAGTGATAAATTTAGCATCTAGAACTTCATTAGATCCCCTCAGTAGTAAACTAAGTATGAGATTTAAAAAAAAAAAAGATTGGGCCAGGTAATGTGGAAAAGATGATTAATAATGGGAGTCACTGAAGCAAAACTTGAAAGAGCTTTAAGAATCTTTCAACAAATATATCTAAGATAACAAAACAGTCTTGAGTAAGACAAAAGGAGTCCTAGTAACTAGGATAAAAGCACTAAAAGAAAGAATTGAATGAATTAGGTTCATATTAGAAGTCTGATTTCAGAATACCGTATGGTCATTCACTTCATATTTCTCAGTGAAAACTACCTGCTTTTCAAGGAAAAGATTAAAAACTGCATAGGTTACTTCTACCTTAATGTCTTGCAAAAGTAGATGAAGTATAACTCACTCAGATAACATGAGCACTTCATATGGAAGTAGTTTTAAGGATGATTTCAATAATCACTGGAATGATATATCAAGATTCTAACAATGAGATTTTTGATATCTTTAATAAAATAAGTACATTAACTGACATCTGCTTAAGCCCACTCAAAATGATGGAAAGCCATCTTATTCCAATTTAAGAAAATTTACACAAAGACTCCATTGACTTAAACAGAAAAAAGAGGAGTAAGAATATGATCAGGAAAGAGAATGGAGCATCAGCTAATTTTATATCAAGTCAAGATCAGGTGACAATCTTACCTGTCCAGTCCCAACAGCTCCACAATACACCACATTGGAGCCCATGCACCCCAGCAGTTGTTGGGCAGCAGCAAATTCCTCTTCGACTCCTCCCACCATAAATGTGAGATTCCCAGACCGGGCAGCTCCTACACCTGCATCATTTGAGGAGAAAGAGAATCAAAAGGATACATTTCTTAAATGCTTCAGTAAATTTTTTAAAACAAAAAAAATATACAAAAACAAAATGAAAACACATTGACTCTAAAATGTACCTATGGTAGGCATGTGAAAGATACTCTAAAATAGCCATACAAATGTTTCAATAATAAAGTATCATGCAAGCTAATCACAAACCAAAAGACCACATACAGATTTAGTCTTACTCTCATTCTCAATACATATGAAAACTTTTGGCACAACCATGGCACAGAATATGTGGGGATTTGAAATGTGCATTTTACTCTATGTCACCTACTGTTTCCTTCAGAACCTACTCAGTAATAAAAAATATATAAGAAAAAGGATTCTGAGGGCTCAGACCCTCACAGGAGCAGGCTGAGAGGGTCTGCTGATGAATTTGATTTGAGATCACTGGGATCCCTTGATCCTTCTCCCAATCTTATCACATGAGAGGGAGAACTATAGTCCAGAAACAAAGAGGCATGTCAGGTGTTAAGACTGTAAGGAAAATAAAACTGTTCTTATTTAGACTGATTATTCTCATGTGCACATTCTCATATTTTTCTTTTCCTTCCTACTCTCTATCTTTGCAGGCAATTCCCCCCTAGTAATATGAGCTGGAAGAAGAAATAACTTTTACACTGGTTTGCTGACTTCTTTATAGCTTTTAACAAAAGCTTTAATACATGTTCACTGGTGAATGATTGGAAAAACAACTCATAATTTAGCACAGAAAAATTGGCTTAAGCTTATCTTAAAAGGGGAAGAAGAATCTCATTCATCTAAAATTTTATTAACTATAAAATAAAATCAAGAATATTATTACAGTTTTTATTATTTAGAGAAAGCCTAATTCATAATTATCAAGTTAGATTTTATTATTCAACAACAGGAAGGCATGTGGGTAAGATATATATTAGTACAATGTTCACTTTTATAGCTTATTTTACAGGACAACTAGAAACTGCAATTATACAATTACAGAACAGATAGCTACAAGTAATGACCTGCTTTTGAATCTGATTTATTCAATGAAATACAGTTTTTATACATTAAATAAAACTCAAGCAAAGAGTGCCCTATTTCATTCAAATTGTGAATAATTTGTTATTGCCAAATCAAGTAGCTTTTCTTTTATGGTTCATACTATTTTTAACCAGTTACTAAAAGCAAAAGAAGTCAGCACACGTCAGCCAAACAGTCTTGGAAGAGTGAGTGCCCACATGTTATGAGAGCCTGAAGTGCTCACACATATGGTTAAATTACATTATTTCACAATATCTTCACACAGTTGCCAACAGAGTATATTAAAAACCCAATTATAAAATATCCTTTCAATTGGCCAATCTATGTCATTTGAACATCCTGATACTGTTGACATTTAAGTGACTGTCATTTTGCTAGTTTCTAATTTTCTTCACCAAAAATAGTGAACAATTACAGTTTTTTAATTACTTTGCTCAATCACGTTAGCCATTTTTATTCAGACCATATAACTACCCTTTCTCCTAGTTTTGTTGATCTGACCTAGAGAAATTAAGTGGACAATATAAGCCAAAGCTTACAAACAAATCCAGCATTATCCATCATAGGTCAATAGCCTTGTACCTAGATTACAGACTACTAAACAGCTTTAGAGAGTCATTTATTAAAGGAAATTAATGCTGACAATGGTTCTCAGCTGGTTAATCTTTTGACAGGTGCACTTTCTCACTTGTTCAAACACAAATTTCAGAGAGAAGAAATAAGTTACTTAAGCAAGAGAAGACTTGCTTAAGTCTTCTTAAGCAATACTGGGAGGCTGAACTCAGGGCCTTGTTCTTGCTAGGCAGGCACTCTGACACTTGAGCCACACGCCTAGCTCTTTTTGCCTTTTAAGTATATATATATATATATATGCCTAGCCTGGCCTGGCCTGGACAGTGTAGCTAGGAGGACAGTCACATTTATACCAAGGCTAGCCTTGAACTGTGATCCTCCTGACTCTGTCTCCCAAGTATCTAGGATTACAGATCTGAGCCACCAATACTTGGCAAGAAAGAGTAATTATCATTTAATTCAGAAATTCATGACAGATTCATTCTTTCCTCCTCTCAAAGTGGCCTTTCAATTATTTCCAACTTTATTGTATCTTGTATCTCAGTATAAAGGTCTAACTAAATTGGGTAATTCTACACTTCTGGAATTTCTTGGAATCAACATCTATCTTTTCATACATATTCCTTTAACACTATCAAGCCTAATCTCGATGCAAAAACAGAGCTAAAATATTAGTTATCATTAATGAAATATAGCCATTTTGAACATAGGGGAAAAATAAAAAGCTGGAATTCAAGAGCTGGTAAGACATCTTATGGACATCTTCAAAAGATACCATATGGATGTTAGAAGAGATTATACAGATTTTTATGACTAGTCATAACAAATAATAAATGTATTACTTCATCATGCCATTTTAACTTAAATCATACTCCAAAATAAGAACACATGAAATGTACACTCATATAGCTGCTAAAATACTAGGAGATATATTTTCAGGGTATTTGTAATCCAAAGATCTGGAATATACCCAAATTCAAAACTTTTTGAGTATTATACCACAGTAAAACAAATTCCACAACTGATTTCGTGTGACTGTATGTGGTCAAATGAAGGCATACTAAAAGTTTTGTTTCAAGTGATCTCTAGATTATGTGTATGAGGTACACTAAAAAATAAATGAATTTGTGTTTAGACTTGGGTCTCAACCCAAAATACTTCATTATGTACAATGCAAACTCCAAAAATCCAAAACTCTGGCCCTAAGTACTTCAGATAAGGCAGATTCGACTTGTATTTTAGTTAATGTTTTAATAAAATGTTGTTGTATTTAACTCTATTATAAGCATTTATCACTGGAAGAATCTTAGATTTTTGTCATCTGATTCCTCCTACAAGGTCAGAATTAGGGTCTTGTTTATGTCAACATCCCCATTATCTGGTACAGTATATGATATTCAATAGATATGTGTCTAGAATACAAGTGAATAAGAAAGAGTAAAGAATCCATGGAAGTAAAATGAGGTTTTTCAGAGTGCTACTTGCTGTCTGTATAATTACAAATTATTTATCTTCTAGTCTCAGCATATGAAATGGGAAAAGAATTACTAACCTCTTTACAGTGTAACTGAAAATGTGAGCAAACATAGTAAAATAAAATGCCATTTAAATATGTTCAATAACCTGGGTTAGAGAACTGGGCGTTTTCCCATTTGGTTATCTAAGCCATTGAATCCTAAGTTAATTTTAGTCTTGCTTGCCAACTATTAGCTGGTTTGGGCTGAACCGATCAGCAATACAAACAAGCTGGCTGAACCTATCAGCAATACAAACAAGCTGGCTTAGGTGAAGAAATAATATTATACAGAAGTCCACAAAGAGTGATGTTAAAATTACATCACCGTAGAGAACTTTTGCAAAATCTTTTAAGGGACACCTGTATTTGGTTGTCATTCAGCATAACAGTGTAACTACTCAGTATCAAGCACTGTGGTTAGCAGTATGCTGAAGGCTAAACCCATGGGTCATTGTGGCTAAGAAGCTATCCACCTGTGATCTGACCACTTTTCTCCTTGCCCATCATTACCATTCTGATCAGAGCCATTGTCACCTCCAAGCTGCTGAGGTGAATGACTTTGATAGCCTCTTTACTTGGTCTCCCTTCTGCTCCTGCCTCCATTGTCTATTCCCCATGCAGCAGCCTCTTTTTTTTTTTTTTTTGGTTGGTCATGGGCTTGAACTCTGGGCCTGGGCACTGTCCCTCAGCTCTTCAGATTAAGGTGAGCGCTCTACCACTTGAGCCACAGCACCACTTCTGTTTTTTTGGTGGTTAATTGGAGATAAGAGTCTCATGGTCTTTCCTGCCTGAGCTGGCTTTGAACCATGATCCTCAGATCTCAGCCTTCTGAGTAGTTAGGATCACAGGTGTGAGACACCAGTGCCCAGCTGTGCAGCAGCCTCTTTAAACACTAATCTAGTGATGCTTCTCCTCAACTCTAAACCTTCCGAAGCCTTCCCATCAGTGTCTGTATAAGAAAGTTCTAGAAGGCACCTTGACATGGTGGTTGGTTTCCTTTCCTATCTCATTTCATACTATTCCTTTTGCCATTCACTGCTTCCCAGACACCAGTTCCCCACACAGGTAAAGCATAATTTCCATATTTAAACCTTGCACTTAGTATGCTTTTTCCCAGCTACTCATGACTTACCTTCACCTTGCACTAATTTAGGTCCCTGTGGAAAATTCACCTCTTCAGAAGGCCTTCCCACACTACTCCATCGAACAATTCACAGCACTTTACTGAGCTGGGCATGGCAGTGTACACCTGTACTTCAGTGAGGCAGAACAGCTGTACGTTTAAGCCTAGCAAGCATCAAAACCCTTAAAAAATACGACTTAATCATTACCCATCTTCTTTTTTTGCTTTAATTTTTATTTATTTATTGTCAGTTGTGGGGCTTGAACTCTGGGCCTAGGCACTGTCCCTCAGCTCTTCAGCTCAAGGCTGGTGCTCTACAACTTGAGCCACAGCGCCACTTCCAGTTTTCTGGTGTTTAATTGGAAATAAGAGTCTCATGACTTCCTTCCCAGGCTAGCTTTGAACAGTGATCCTCAAATCTCAGTCTCCTGAGTAACTAGGATTACAGGCGTGAGCCACCAGCACCTGTCTTTAATTTTATTTCTAATGTCTAATACCCCTTGTTTCTCTCAATACCTCTTATTTTGATTCTGCTTTGCGTTCTTCATATGAACATTTGTTCATGAAGGCAGTGTCAGCTGGCTCGTTAACCCCATATTCACACAGTCTGGTGCATAAGAGATGCTTAGTAGGCTGACTGTTTAAACCAAGAGAGAAGGAGGAGGTGCTATCATTTGTGTCTTCCAAAAAATAAGTGCTGGAAAGAAACTTCACCCTCAAGATTACGTACTGAA